ACTACAGAACACTCATGAAAGAAATGGAGGAAGACACAAAGAACTGGAATAACATTCGATGCTCATGGATTCGAAGAACAGATATTGTTAAAATGTGTATGCTACCTAGAGCAATCTATACATTCAATGCAATCCCTATCAAAGACAAAATCAGAGAGGGAGACAAACCATAAGAGATTTTTAATCATAGGAAACAAACGGAGGGTTGCTGGAGGGGAGGGTGGTGAAGTGATGGGGTAACTGGGTGATGGGCATTAAGGATGGCATGTGATGTAATGAGCACTGGGTATTACATAAGACTGAGGAATCACTGAACTCTACCCCTGAAACTAATAATATGTATTATTATGTTATGTGTATTGTTATATATATAATTATTATACATGTATATATTATATATGTATATGTATATACTATTATGTATGTATTGCATATCATATATATTATATATGTAATATATAATTATTATGTATGTAATGCATATTATTATAGGTAACATTATGTTAATTAATTGAATTTAAATTTCAAAAAATAAAAAAAAAGAGTAATACCAATCTTCTTAAACTATTCCAAAAAATAGAAGAGGAAGGAAAATTTCCAAATTCATTCTATGAGGCCAGCATGACCTGATACCAAAACCTGATAAAGATACCACAAAAAAAAAGAGAACCACAAGCCAAAATCTCTAATGAACACACATGCAAAAATCCTCCACAAAATACTAGCAAACCCAATTCAACAATACATTAAAAAAAAGCATTCACCACATCAAGTGGGATTTATTCCCAGGATGAAAAAGTGGTTAAATATTTGCAAATCAGGGCAACTGGGTGGCTCAGTCGGTTAAGTGGCTGCTTTCGGCTCAGGTCGTGATCCCGGAGTCTTGGGACCAAGCCCTGCATCAGGCTCCCTGCTCAGCAGAGAGCCTGCTTCTCCCTCTCCCTCTGCCTGCCGCTCTGCCTACTTGTGCGCTCTCTCTCTGTCAAATAAATAAAATCTTTATATATACATATATATATATATGTATTTGCAAATCAATCAACATGATACACTATATTGTACACCTGAAACTAATATAACACTGTATGTTAACTATACTGGAATTAAAATTAGAAACATAATAAATTAATAAATAGGACCAGTAATTAGTTGGAAATATTCAGATAATTACTTTTATAAGAGAAGCTTTTGTTTTTACTAGCAGGAAAATAAAGGAATGCTCTGGTATTCAATTGTTGCCCAGCCATCCAGGAGTGGCCAGTGACGCCACAATTCAGATGTTTTCTTTGGAAAGCTGATTTTGAATTTTTCTTTTTTTTATTTTTAAATTTTACATGCTTGCCTCAGAGGAACAAACACAGCTCTCCTTGATCTCACTTATGTTATGAGACTAAGAAGATGCTGCTATGGACTGAAATGTGTCCCTCCAAATTTATATGTTGTAGTCTAACCGCCCCTGTGACTGCATTTGGAGACAGGACCTTTAAAGAGGTAATTAAGGATCAATGAGGTTATATGAGTGAGGTCCTGATCCAGTTAAACTGGGTCATTATAAAAAGAGGGAGAAACGTCAGGGGTCTTCTATGCATGTACAGAGAAAAGGCCATGTGAGAATACACCAAAAAGGCGGCCATCTGCAATCAAAGGAGAAAGGCATCAGGAAAAACCAAACCTGCTGACACCCTGGTCTTAGACTTCCAGGTTTCAGAATAGTAAGATATAAATTTCTGTTGTTTAAGTCACCCATTCTGGGGTGTTTTGTTATGGCAGAGCTAGAAGACTAATATAGATACCAAATCCCTAATATAACATCCCCTATTAGAAGGTGCCTGAAACTTCACCATTAAGTACTCCTCTTAAATTACTTAAAAGCTCACAACCGAGGACCAAGTACATGACATGTGGGACACTAAAAACTACATAGAAACACCCAGTCTTACAAGCTTGACAGGTTAAGGAAAGACTCCAAGGTGACCACAACACCTGGGAGAAAAAATGACACCCCAGGACAAAGAGAGCCAGAAAAAAAGTGTCCCAAATTCTCTATATAATCTCTGCTCAAATCTCTGGCTAACTCTTGAACCATGTCTACACAGGACAAACTACAATCAGCCTAGATAAGTCTAGAGGAAATAAAATGAAACTTCAGCTATTGCTCTCTTATAGGAAAGACCAAATTTCTGTTTGAGCTGAGTCAAACTGACAAAAAAAAAAAAATCAGTATCTTCAAAAAAATAACAAGTGACATTACCAAAAATGGCAGAGAACACCAAACCTTCACCCCCCATTAAAGCAATCAATAAGCTGACCAAAAAAAAAGTCAGAATCAACTTTTTCAGAACTCTGGAATCTAATTAAAGACTTACAACATCCAAGAGAACACTTAATAAAGAAAGAAACTACTGAATTTTGGTAAGAGAGGACTGTGGCATTTATCTTACTCCTAAAATTCCCCACTGTCCACTCCCAGATCAAGTGGCAACCATGAAGATGGTGGCCCAGATTCCTGATGCAGCTTGCTAGTGACAAGAGGAGCAATATGAACCTTGTTCTTAAACAACTGTTGTTGTGTTTTTGACCTATCTGGTAGCCCACTGAGAGATCAGCTCAGGGGCTTCTCTACTGCCTCCATATTCACTTTGGAGCTTTCTCAGGCCCGAAGGGTGGTGGGAATATAAAACTGTGCAGTTCCTTTGGAAAACAGTTTAGTGTTTCCTCAAAAATTTAAGCATAGAAGTAATGTATAACCCAAAAATTCCAACCATTGGTACATATCCAAAGAACTGAAAACAGGTGTTCAAACAAAAACTTGTACGTGAATGTTTCTAGCAGCACTATTCACAATAGCCAAAAGGTAGAAACAACCCAAATGTCCATCAACTGGTGAATGGATAAAAAATATAGCATAGCTATATAACAGAGTAGGAAAATCCATAAAAAAGAATGCAGATGGCCATCTGCAATAAAAGGAGAAAGGCATCAGGAAAAACCAAACCTGCTGACACCCTGGTCTTAGACTTCCAGGTTTCAGAATAGTAAGAAATAAATTTCTGTTGTTTAAGTCACCCATTCTGGGGTGTTTTGTTATAGCAAAGCTAGAAGACTAATACAGATACCAAGTCCCTAATATAACATCCCCTATTAGATGATTAGCGATTTCCAGAAGATAGAGGCAGGGGAGAATGAGAAGTGAGTAATCAACTGGCACAGATTTCCTTTTAGAAGATGAAAATGTTCTGAAACTAGATAGTGGTGAGTTACACAATATGTGAATATACTAAATGCTAGTAAATTGTACACTTTTAAAATGGTTAAAATGTTGGATTTTATGTTTTATGAATTTTACCATAATTCATTTATTAGAACTAATGTTACAGAATATAAAATCATTATACAAAAATCTGCTGCATCTCTATACCCTAATAACAAACTATCAGAAAGAGAAACTAAAAAACAATCCACTTATAATTGCATCAAAAACAATAAAATACCTAGAAATAAATTTAACCAAGGAGATGAAAGACTTATATACTGAAAACTACAAGACATTAAGGTAAGAAATTGAAGTAGATACAAAAAAAATTGAAAAATATTCTGTGATCATGGATTGGAATAATTAACATTGTTAAAATGTCCATAATACCCAAAGCAATCTACAGATTCAATGCAATCCTTATCAAAATTCCAATGGTATTTTTCACAGAAATAGAAAAACAATCTTAAAATTTGTATGGAATCACAAAACATCCCAAATTCCAAAAGCAATCTTGAGAAAAAAGAGCAAAGCTGAAGACATCACACTCCCTGATTTCAAACTCCATTACAAAGCTATAATAATTAAAAACAGTATAGTTATTGGCATAAAAACAGACATATTAATCAATGGAAAAGAATAGTGTAAGCCCAGAAACAAACGCACACATATATTTACAAGAAAGAATCCAAGAATATATAATGGAGAAAGGAGAGTCTCTTCAAAATAGTGTGGAAAAACAAGACAGCCACATACAAAAGAATGAAACCAGACTTTCTTATACCATATAGAAAAATTAACTCAAATGGATTAAAGATATGAATGTTATACCTGAAATCATAAAAAAAGATAACATAAGTGGTAAATTCCTTAACCTAAGTTTTGACAATGATTTTTTTTGAATCTGACACTAAAAATAAAAACAAAAGCAAAAATATCAAATAGCACTATATGAAAATAAAAAGCTTCTGCACAACATAGGAAACAATCAACAAGATACAAAGTTAATCTACTGAATGGGAAAAGATATTTGCAGATCATAGATCTGGTAAAGGGTTAATATCCAAAATATATAAAGAAGTCATACAATTCAACAGCAAAAACACAAATAATCCTATTTAAAAACTGAGAAGGGGCACCTGGTGGCTCAGTCGTTAAGCATATACCTTCAGCTCAGGTCATGATCCCAGGGTCCTGGATGGAGCCCAACATCAGGCTCCCTGCTTGGTGGGGAGCCTGCTTTTCCCTCTCCCACTCCCCCTGCTTGTGTTCTCTCTCTCTCTCACTCGCTCTCTCTCTGTCAAATAAATAAATAAAATCTTTAAAAAAAAAATAGGGAGATTCATGAGATTCTTTGACGGACTATACCCTACTATCAGTGCCACCATCGCCAAAATTGTTCTAAAAAAACTGAATGACCCATTGGGGAAAACCAGGGCCATTAGTGTGGGTGATGCTGTGGGTTTGTTATATATGGCCTGTTTATTATGTTGAGGTATATTTCTTCTATGCCCAGTTTGAGTTTTTACCATGAAAGGATGCTGAATTATGTCAAATGTTCTGTTTACAACTACAGAGATATCTGTATGATTTTTATCTTTCCTTCTCTTAACATGTATCACACTTATTAATTTATGTATGTTGAACCATCCCTGCATCTCAGGGATAAATCCTTCATGATCGTGGGGTATAATCCTTTTCCTATGCTGTTAAATTCAGTTTGTTAGTATTTTGTGGGTGCCAGTACCATAATGATGCTTTCTTAATCCTGGTATTCAGGGTCCTCCAACACAATGTATGGTTCCCTCACACTGAGCTCCCAGTCAATCTTCATTTTCCTTCACTTCCAGGTAAAAATCATCAGGTATTTGAAAGAAATCTACAGCATGACAGAGAAAAAATATGGGAAGTATAGAAAGAAATTGTCTCTGGATGAAAAAGCAAGAATTCAGAGAAACAAAACAATTTAAAAAGTATGCCCTAATTGAAGTAGACTTTGCTGAGCCAAATATTCTAAACTTACCTCTTTTTCTTTTTAATTTTGAAGGTTTGTTTTTGTTTTTTTTTTTAGATTTTATCTTATTTGTTTGACAGAGAGAGACACAGTGAGAGAGGGAACATGAGCAGGGGGAGTGGGAGAGGGAGAAGCAGGCCTCCTGCCGAGCAGGGAGCCCAATGTGGGGCTTGATCCCAGGACCCTGGGATCATGACCTGAGCCAAAGGCAGACGAAGGACTGAGCCACCCAGGCGCCCCTTAAACTTATCTCTTGTTTGATACACTGGGATTTTGACACCTTGGAACAATATACCATGATAAGATTTGGAATGGATAAAAGCTATGCTCCTCTAGAACTCTCAAAAAAATCATGGGATACAGACCCTTAGGAACATTGTCATATCCTCAGAGATAAGTACTCTAAAGACTGCTGTTATATACAACTCTAAACTATTAAAAACTTTAGATGAAATGTTTGATTGTTATAAAAGAAAAATTAACAAAAGTGACTAAAAAAGAAGTAAACAGAACAGAATAAATTGAAGTGGCAAAGATCTACATTTCCAGTTTTCTCCAATGAATGAAAGAAAGACAGAGAAAGAAAAAGAAACCAGGACCAAAGAGTCTTTACTTGTTAATCTTCTACAAAATCATCAAGTAACAATTACTAAGTTATTTATATTTTTATAAGTGGTATTTTTGTTTTTATTAGCCTCACAGTATTTTCTAATTTCTTTTCTGATTTCTTTTGACCCATTGGTTATTTTGGAGTGTTGTTTAATTTCCCTAATTTCCTTCTGTTATTGATTTCTAGTTTCATTCCATTGTTGTCAGAGAATATACATTGTATGATTTCAATTCCTTAAATTAATGAAAACTGTTTTATAAACTAACATTAAGATGTTAAAGGTAGGGCGCCTGGGTGGCTCAGTTGGTTAAGCGACTGCCTTCGGCTCAGGTCATGATCCTGGAGTCCCGGGATCGAGTCCCGCATCGGGCTCCCTGCTCGGCGGGGAGTCTGCTTCTCCCTCTGACCCTCCTCCCTCTCATGCTGTCTCTCATTCTCTCTCTCTCTCAAATAAATAAGTAAAATCTTTAAAAAAAAAAAAAAAAAAAAAAGATGTTAAAGGTAATCCCCAAAGCAACCACTGAAGAAAAGCATATGCCTTCATTACAAATCAATGCACAGAAATCAGTTGCTTTAAGATACGTAGTAAAAGAACTGACAACTGATATTTTCTGTACTAGAAAATCTCTATTAACACAAAAGAAAGGAGTAACGGAGGATTGAAGTATCAAAAAAAAAGACATAAGATATATTAAAAACAGCAAAATGGCACGTGTAATTCCTACCTTATTAGTAATTATATTAAATGTAAACAGATTAAACTCTCCAATTAAAGGGCATAAATTGCCAAAATGAACAAAGAAACATGTTCCAGTTATATGCTTTATACAACAGACACACTTCAGATTCAAAGACACAAACAGGTTGAAAGAGAATGGAAAAAGATATACCATGCAAAAGGAATGAAAAGATCTGGAGTAACAATATTAACATCAAACAAAATAGAATTTAAGACAAAAATTGTTCCCTCTATCCCTATACTCTGAAAAGTTTTAATTAGGAAAGGATGCTGTATTTTGTCAAATGCTTTTTCTACATCAATTGAGAGGACCATATGGTTCTCTCTCCTCTTATTAATGTGTTCTATCACATTGATTGATTTGGGAATGTTGAACCACCCTTGCAGCCCAGGGATAAATCCCACTTTGTCGTGGTGGATGATCCTTTTAATGTACTGTTGGATCCTATTAGCTAGGATTTTGTTGAGAATTTTGGCATCCATATTCATCAGGGATATCGGTCTGAAATTCTCCTTTTTGATGGGGTCTTTGCCTGGTTTGGGGATTAAGGTAATGCTGGCCTCACAGAATGAGTCTGGAAACTTTCCTTCTGTTTCTATTTTTTGAAACAGCTTCAGTACATTAGTTATTATATCTTGTTTGAATGTTTGGTAGAATTGCCCAGGGAATCCATCAGGCTCTTGTTTTTTGGGAGGTTTTTGATCACTGCTTCAATCTCATTACTGGTTATTGGCCTATTCAGGTTGTTAATTTCTTCCTGTTTCAGTGTTGGTAGTTTATAGGTTTCCAGGAAGGCATCCATTTCTTCCAGTTTGCTTAATTTATTGGCATATAATTGTTGATAATAATTTCTAATAATTGTTTCTATTTCCTTGGTGTTAGTCATGATCTCTCTCCTTTCATTCATAATTTTATTAATTTGGGTCCTTTCTCTTTTCTTTTGGATAAGTCTGGTCAGTGGTTTATCGATCTTACTAATTCCTTCAAAGAACAAGCTTCTAGTTTCGTTGATCTGATCTACTGTGTTTCTGGTTTCTAATTCACTGATCTCTGCTGTAATCTTAATTATTTTTCTTCTAATGTGTGGCTTAAGCATCCTTTGCTGCTTTTTCTGTATTCTTTAAGGTGTAAAGTTAGTTGGTGAATTTGGGATTTTTCTATTTTCTTGAAATAGAAAGCTTGGATGGCTATGTATTTCCCCCTTAGGACTGCCTTTGCAATATCCTATAGGTTCTGGACCAATGTGTTTTCCTTCTCATTGGTTTCCATCTATGAAAAACTCATAGACAATATCATCCTCAATGGGGAAAAGATGAGAGCCTTTCCCTTAAGATCAGGAACACATCAAGGATGCCCACTCTTGCCACTATTGCTCAACAAAGTACAAGAAGTCCTGGCAACAGCAATCAGACAACAAAAAGAAATAAAGGGCATTCAAATTGGCAAAGAAGTCAAACTCTCTCTCTTTGCAGATGACATGATACTTTATGTGGACAACCCAAAAGACTCCACCCCCAAATTACTAGAACTCATACAGCAATTCAGTAATGTGGTAGGATACAAAATCAATGCACAGAAATCAGTTGCTTTCTTATACACTAACAATGCAACTGTAGAAAGAGAAATTAGAGAAACGATTCCATTTACATAGCACCAAAAACTGTAAGATACCTTGGAATAAACCTAACCAAAGAGGTAAAGGATATGTACTCCAGGAACTACAGAACACTCATAAAAGAAATTGAAGAAGACACAAAAAGATGGAAAAACATTCCATGCTCATGGATCAGAAGAATAAACATTGTTAAAATGTCTATGCTACACAGAGCAATCTATTCCTTCAACATCATCCCGATCAAAGTTCCAATGACATTTTTCAAAGTGCTGGCACAAACAATCCTAAAATTTGTATGGAACCAGAAAAGACCCTGAATCACCAAGGAAATATTGAAAAAGAAGAACAAAGTTGGGGGCATCACGTTGCCAGATTTCAAGCTATATTACAAAGCAGTGATCACCAAGACAGCATGACACTGGCACAAAAACAGACATATAGACCAATGGAACAGAATAGAGAGCCCAGATATGGACCCTCAACTCTATAGTCAAATAACCTTCGACAAAGCAGGAAAAAAATGTGCAATGGAAAAAAGACAGTTCTTCAATAAATGGTGCTGGGAAAATTAGACAGCCATATACAGAAGAATGAAACTCGACCACTCTCTAACACCATACACAAAGATAAACTCAAAATGGATGAAAGACCTCAACATGAGACAGGAATCCATCAAAATCCTAGAGGAGAACACAGGCAGTAACCTCTTCAACATTGGCCACAGCAGCTTCTTTCAAAATCTCCAAAGGCTAGTGAAGCAAAAGCAAAAATGAACTTTTGGGACTTCATCAAGATAAAAAGCTTCTGCATGGCGAAGGAAACAGTCAACAAAACAAAGAGGCAACCCACAGAATGGGAGAAGATATTTACAAATGATACTACAAAGGGCTGATTTCCAAGATTATAAAGAACTTCTCAAACTCAACACCCAAAAAACAAATAAGTCAAAAAATGGGCAGAAGACATGAGCAGACACTTCTCCAAAGAAGACATAACAAATGGCTAACAGACACATGAAAAAATGTTCATCATCATTAGCCATCAGGGAAATTCAAATCAAAATCACATTGAGATACCACCTTACACCAGTTAAAATGGCAAAACTGACAAGGCAAGAAACAACAAATGTTGGAGAGGTTGTGGAGGTTGTGAGAAAGGGGAACCTTCTTACACTGTTGGTGGGAATGCAAGTTGGTACAGCCACTTTGGAAAACAGTGTGGAGGTGCCTCAAAAAATTAAAAATAGAGCTACCCTATGACCCAGCAATTGCACTCCTGGGTATTTACCCCAAAGACACAGATGTAGTGAAAAGAAGGGCCATATGCACCCCAATGTTCATAGCAGCAATGTCCGCAATAGCCAAACTGTGGAAAGAGCCGAGATGCCCTTCAACAGATGAATGGATAAAGAAGATGTGGTCCGTATATACAATGGAATATTACTGAGCCATCAGAAAGGATGAATATCCAACTTTTACATCAACATGGATGGGACTGGAGGAGATTATGCTAAGTGAAACAAGTCAAGCAGAGAAAGTCAATTATCACATGGTTTCACTTATTTGTGGAATATAAGGAATAGCATGGAGGACATTAGGAGAAGGAAGGGAAAAATGAAGGGGGGGAAATCAGAGGGGGAGATGAACCATGAGAGACTATGGACTCCAAGAAACAGACTGAGGGTTTTGGAGGGGTGGGGGGTGGGGGGAATGGTTGGCCCAGTGGTGGGTATTAAGGAGGGCACGTACTGCATGGAGCACTGGGTATTATATGAAAACAATGAATCATGGATCACTACATCAAAAACTAATGATGTATTCTATGGTGAATAGCATAACATAATAAAATAAAATAAAATTTTTTAAAAATTAGTAAAAACAAACCAAAAAAAAGGCAAAAA